AGCTCCCGCAGGGCCCCAGCATGAACCAGTAATCGCTTGGTGCTAAGCCAGGGTGCCCCGAGGGATGGAGCTTGCTCAGAAAAAAAAAAATCACCTAATAGCACCCGGCACAGCTCAAGCCAACCGCTCTCTTCCAAAAGCAAAAGAGAAGCACCCACCCTTCACTGCGGAGCATCGCGCTGAGAGCGTCACAGGGAGCAAGGGACAGGCGAGGAGGACCAGGGAGCAGAAAAGACAGCAGGCTTGCAGGGATGAAGACCACAGAGGGGCTGAACACCAGGCTTTGTAGGCAGCAAGGGCTCAGTCAGGTGTTCCCCATCCTGCTCCACCTGCTGAGGCTGATTGCTGGGGTTTTAGGCAAAGGAGGTAAAATGCACTAATTAAGCCAGGTGAAAGGATAGAGCCTCTAATCTGACCTTTACGTTGCCCTCAATGACCAGCAGCTCCCACCAATGAGGAGGAGGAGGGACACACTTGCAGCAGCATCACCTCAGCTGGGTACCCACCAGGTGTCCACATCCCAAATGTGAGCGCCCCGTGCTTGACCCCAATGCGTTTTCCCTGCAATTTCCCATTAGCTCACCCATCTCCAACCCAACATGGGTGCAAGCTGGTTTCTCATCCACCCATCTGCTAATGAAACCGTTTCCACTTCTCCAGGCTCGAGTTCACGTTTCCCACGTGGGAAGCGTGCCCTCGGCACCCAAGGGCTTGCCTTGCCGTGCGTCTCTCATGGACGTTCAGCGCTCAGGAAAGGTGCTCGGGGACAAGAGAGCGATGGGAGGTGGGGGCAGGAGGGATCTCACCCAGTTTCCTTCTGCTACGTTAACAGCAAAGGGAGAAACGCAATAGATCCGTCAAAAATGGAGATCCACCACAGGGTAGATACAGCCTGAGCTTGATGTTGGGAAGGGCTACGTAGCACTGACCCCTATTCTTAAGGGCTCAGGGCTCCAAATGAGCTCGTTGCAGCCGGCCGTGTAGCTCAGCACCATCTCTGCATCCCACCATGCTCTTCCTCCTTGGCATCAAGGGTCAGCCACGAGCACAAACCGGGAGGCTGCGGGCCCTCGACTCTGCGGCATCAAAGGCAGATACTGTTTCCCACCTGAAAAAGCATGCACAAAGAGGCAGGAAAATAATCCACGTCCCTTCAGAGCTGCCAAAATACTTTGCTGGGAACGCTGACTATCTTTCTTTAATGGCCTTCTTTTTGCTTTTAAACACCTGTAAAACAAAACACAGGAAAAAAAGCCCAAAAGATGCTGAAACTGAAACCACGCACTCAGCGTCACCCTGAAGGAGACGTTTCAGGTTAAATCATTGACCCGAGAAGATCTTTCTTTGCCCAGTTATGCCTTGGCTGTAGCCACTGCAGCACGCTCCGATGCGCGGGTATAAAATTGCCTCCGGTTGTGGCGGGGAGGGAGGAGGCCACAAACACCTTCAGCCATGGCGAAAAGTGAGAGTGGAGAACGCTGATTTATGGGGCACCGGGCTCTGAACTGCAGTTGGGGACACACACGGGGGAAGGTTTTTCCATCCCCTGCTCTCCTGAGTTGGGTTGGACCTGAAATGCACCTTGGACCTGAAATGCACCTCTGTGGGAAGTGAAGGTCTCTTTGCAGAAGATCCAAGAAGGTGAAGTCAAAGCCTTGATTCCTCCTTGCTTGCAGTAAATCCCTCCAACATTAACCATCACTTGGTTTGACTGCACCCGCAGCTACAGGGCAGTAGTTTTGGAGCGGTTTGATGTATCTACGGTGACTTTGTGGTTGCCTTCAGGCTGTTGCATGGAGACATCGAGGCGTCAAGGCATCAAGGCAAGTCAAGCCAACCTCATCGCACTAGGCAGGGAAATCGAGCCCCAAAGCAGGACCTGGCTGGTGGCAGAATGAGGCTGGGCAGGTCTGTGTTATAATTTAAGAGCTGGCTTAAACATAAACTCTTCTTCTTTCCAGCCTGATCTTGGACAGCCCAGCAAGGCCACGACCCACCATCCCCATCAGAGCAGCCTGGCTTCTCCTGCTTCTCCCCATGCTTGCAGAGATCAAGACGGGCAGAGGCGGGCAGGTTGGCCACGCGGCTGGTCCTGGTGCGACCTAATGGGAAAAACACTGCAAAGGTTGGATGGGGTAAGGATGAGTTTATCGAAGGGTTGGTGGACGTGGAGTACAGTCCAGGAGTTTTCCCTTATCAATTTCTTTGGTCCATGCTCCGTCAGCACAGGATGCTCACGTGTCCTCAAAGATGATGTTCTCCAAAGATGCACACAGAGCAAGCATTTGAACCTAAACCAACCCAACTGGGCTCTGGCATCACTGTGCTGCCTCCAGCAGCGTCCCCCAGCCTGAGATCTTCCATCCCTTGAAGAGAGGGACATCATCACATCGCTTTGGTCCTTGCAGGGACAGACCGGGCGTTTTGGGAACCGCTGAACGGCGAGGAGGAGGCTGCGAGGAAGCTGAAGGGCAGGCAGAGGAAGGATGGGCAGAGGAAGGCTGCCACCTGCTGTCCATAAAAACTTCTCCAAGTCATAAAATTGGACAAAATCCTGATTTGCGCACACATCTTAAAACACAGGTTCATGGCCCCATGGTGTGGTCATCCAGGGTGGGAGAACCACCAGCAACTCAACCCAGGTGGAAAGGGGAAGACCATAGAGGAGACTTGGAAAGAGGAGACCACCACGCCCCAACGGGCTGGTGAAAATCACACGTGGACAGTGGAGAAAGTGTCCTGTAGGACATTTCTTCAACCCCCTTCAACACTGGGAGCTACGATTAAGAAAACCAAGAAGCAACACGACAAGCGCTGTGCTGGCTGAGCTGAATTTCTCTTCTCCTGAGCCCTTCACCGCTGCAGATGGCTCCTGTGTCTTCCTGGGCCAAGGGCACATCGCAAACCGTGGCATCGTCAGCTAATTTGGTGGCATTAATAAATATCCCATCCAAGTGATGGGTAGGAGATCTGGACCTCTCCTCCAAAGGTTGAGCTAATTAATCTCCTACCTTCCTCCTCTGATGTCAAGGTTTCTCGTAAGGCCATTGTTGGCCCTAATTAAAAGGCTTTTCAAGATGAGTCTCCCCTGAACATCAGCCGTATTTTGACAGTGACAATAATTGCAGAAATCTCGTTGGTACAATAATAATAATTACCCAACCACAAGAGGAAAGGTCCTAGGAGAAGAGGACGGTAAGCGGCAGAGAAATCAGGACTTGGAGCCCTCGTCTCTTTTGGTGGGTGGTGTTGGGCGAGGGAGAAACATGGCCCAGCTTCCTAAGACTTGTTTTTCTCTGCCCATTGACCACGTGTCTCTAAAAAGGGCACATTTAGTACCCCGAGCACTGAACCATAGACATTCCTTAGCAAAGAGCTGGCCAAATATCTCAAAACTGCCCCAGAAACGCAGCCCACCATCAGTCCTCCGAATGAGCAGCCCTCAAAAGCTCGTCTGACCTCCCAGCGTCTTCAGGGAGCTGAGGGCTTTGCCCCGTGCCCAGCCAGAGCTGTCAGCACCCTCTTCTCCGGGGCCAGATCCGGTTCTTTAGGGCTACCCTCACTTTTGCTCTTCTCAAGCCTTTTTTCCTTCGCTGGACTCAAGGATTTTTAAAAAAAAATGAGCCCAGCTCCCAGGAGACGCCCCTGCAACACTATTGTCCTTGGCCCGATGAGTTCCAGATGTTCCCCCAGCTCCTGGGTTAAGCCTGGATGTCCCATGGGGGAAAAAACCACGACCCAGATCTACGGCCACCCACGGTGCCTCCTGTCATCCCCAAATCGAAGAAATGATGGTGAACGGCCCCAGTTTCAGATCTGGCCTTGGGGGACGGATCCAGGCTTGGCTCAAAAGTGGTGTCCGGCCGGCCGATGAGCTGTAACCCGAATTTGACATCGCAGGAAGCAGGAGCAAGTGCTTGGGTACCCAAATGCTTCTTTTCTATTTTTTGCTCTTGTTTTTTTTTCCGTACTGTTTTTTTTTGTAATGTTTTTTAACTCAAACCAAAGGTGTTCAACCCTGCGGGCGGAGAAATCATTTCTCCACGTAAGATGCCCGGTGGCAATAAGGGGCCATCTCACCTGAAAGGAGGAAACCAATAGGTCACGCCTTGGGTCTAAGAAGCGGAAAAAAATAGAAAAGACAAGAGAAACAACAATAATTAAAAAAACCCTCGCTGAAGGCATAAGCTGAAAAATACGGTAACAACTATATTTTTTGCAACAGACCCACTTGAAAAATTCTGTAATGATTCATAATGACCCGTCCAACTCAAACGAGGAGTACCGATGACCTACCCGTCAGCTTTCAGAATCCTGCTGACAAGCTTAAAAGCAGTGGTAAGGAGAGGAGTTCAGCCACAACCAACTCGAAGGAGGAAAATAGGATCTCGCTTTCCGGGGAGCGGTTGTCTTTGCAGACGGTAAGTGCTTTTTCCTCCCTTCTTTACTACCAATCTCTGAAGAAATTAAACCAGAGTAAGGAACGCTTGGTGACAAGCAACCAAAAGTCTGGTTTTTCAGCAAAGAAAGGGTGGGGGTTGGCATTTTATTCCCGTTATCTGCTAAGGCATCCAGCAAAGATGTAAAACTCGCATTAATCAACTCTTCTGAAAGCTGCTTTTCTGAGCAGGTAACGGTCGGGAAAGTTCTCCAGCACTCAGGCGCTAAGCTCAAAAGAGAAATATTGCTCCGAGATAGAAAAGGGAAGGTTTGTGGTAAAGTTTATCGCAATAAATTATATCTTTAGAGTATACAGACCTGTCCCTGTGGCTGTTCGCCTGCATCTAAGTAACGGTAGACGTGCCCATCGGTAATGGTGAGGGTGCGATTTTTCACAGGCATCCATCAAAATGCTGCCTAGGAGAGCTGGGAAGGAGGTTGGCTGGTGCTGGATCTGTCCCCTGCCACCCTGCCGGGGCTCCCGCACGGGCTGGGGGCGTCAGTGGCGATCGCAGCCCTGGCCATTTCTGTCTCGATTTCTGCCTTCTCCAGACAGACAAATGCAGATCGTCTGGTGGCTGTACCTCTCCGGGCTGGTGTTTGCCATCCTGATCCCGGCAGGGCAGCAGATGGGCGCCAAGGACTTGGATGAGACGTCCAGGTACGGAGAGACGGCCGGCGTGGGCAGGGGCTGTCGGAGCGGCTCAGCTCGCTCCGTTACCGATGCTGCCGGCCGTCCCAGCTTTGGGCAACCTCGCTATTGCAATGTTCCCATTTCTTTTATATTTATCCGGATGAGCTCCCTCCTGGCTCTGCACCAGCCCACGCAGGGACATTGCCATGTGTGTGTGTCCCCCCTCCAAGGATTTCTCGGCTGTGTCAGACCAGAGATGGGCTGCATGGGGATCCGGCGGGGCAGGTGATGCTTTGGGCAGGGTACTGAGCCCTGCTCCGTGCCGGCGGCTACGTGGGAGGAAAACCCTTTGGGGACCTTCTGCCGTGAACCTCAAGATCAGCTCTCCATCCTGGAGCTGGGGGAGGTTGATATAAACCTCGGGGCGGCACCACGCTCCCTCCCAGGGCGGCAAGAGGGGAGCAGAGTAGAGGCACAAACCCATCGCAGCCGAGCAAGATGTAATATGGGATAGGATAAGATAATATGGGATAGGATATGGCACATGTTTGATGTCGGGAACAACCCTGGCCAGGCTTGGCAGACCCCGCCCCAACATTGAAAATTAATTTTAGATATTATTGTAGTTTTTCTGGAGGATGCTCCACCCCATAAAGTACTTCACAGGACACAGCCCCTGCTCCGGGTATCTCCCGCAGAGAGGATGCCGCGATGTGCGTGAAACCACGTTTTCTTCTCCCATCCTTCTCTCCCGAGCAGATGGCAGTCGTACGAATCCCAAAGCACCCGAAGCTTCGCGTCCAACATCAAGCGACACTCGGAAGGCACCTTCACCAGCGACTTCACCCGCTACCTGGACAAGATGAAGGCCAAGGACTTTGTGCACTGGCTCATCAACACCAAGCGGTACAGGTAAAAAGGAGAGAGGGGAACAGGACCACACTGGGAAATAACCTCCCACCGTGCCATGAGCCCCCAACCTCAATCAAAAATGCAGTTTTACTTTTCCGCCGACTGTTTTCTTATTTTTGGCAGCCCCACGAAGAGGTACCCGAAGGAGGAGCCCCGCAGCATCCCCTTCCTGGCCGCAGTCCCGCTGCTCGCGTAAGTCATCCCAAACGGCGAACGTGGTGAATTAAAACCCAAGAAATGAGTAATTTTAAAATGTGGCCACAAATCAGCGGTTTCGGTGCAAAGGCAGAGTGCGGCTCCCTACGCCCGATGCTGCTTTGTATTTTCTCTGGCTTTTTACTGGTAATAAAATAAAACTTCCTTGTTAACAATAAAATTTACTTGTAATAAAACAAAACAAGGAAAATTAAGTTATCTGGGGCGGGGGAGTTAATAGTTGGGATGGGATGAGGCTGTTTGGTTCTCACCACTCTTTGTTCTCACATTTTACATTTCGTGTCAGCGTTAAGGCGCCGTTAGAGGGGACACGATCCCGTTGCGGTTTTGTCAGAGCAAAGCGGTCACTCCTTTGCAAAATGAGAAAATCACCGCCGCTGTTTCAAAACTCCTAAAGGGATTTTTTTGGGGGAGGGGGGAGGACAAGTTTCTATTCCGCAAAGCTCTTTGGTGTTTGTTTTTAATTTTTAAGGTACAATTAAATGGCAAAAGAAGGCATCAGCTTTCCAGCACCATCAGCCTGGGGATGCTGGACCCCCCGCCACGGCTGGTAGCGAGCGGATGCTCCACGGGAAGGATTTATCCATCACACGCAGCCGTGTTAACCCGGTCGGTGGTTCCCAGTCGCCTCCTCCGAAAATTTGCCCCCATGGCTCAGCCTTCCCTTCAAATCTGGATTTCTCCGCTTCCATTTGCTCTGTGACGGCTCCGGCGGCGCTGCAGATCCTGCAGCTTTCCCTAAATTGTAATAAAACCTTTGCGAAATACGGCTGCTGGTTCCTGACGTCGCCAACCCTCCCGAGCATCCCAGCGGGATCCCACGCGTTGGTGGTCCCGGGGGATTTTGAGGCATCGGGCCTCAACCCCGCCTTGGCTCAGGTGCTCTGTTTTTTCTCTCAATTCCTCAAGTTTTAGGTCAAAAGGCAATTGGGATGCGCCTGCCTGACCACAGAGACCTCTGCCAGAGGGGATTTTGAATGAAATTTAAAAAAAAAACAAACACAAAACTATATGAAAGGTAACTAGAACCTCCTTGGATTTAATTTAATGCTAATTAATTGTATTGCAAGTGTATTGCAACTCCCAAAAACGCGGGAGGAGAAACTGCTCGCTCTGGATGGGGCGATTTCTATCTTACGCTGGCATCTCCGTGTCCCCCCAGTGCCATTTCGGAGCTCCCTGCACACCCTGGGATGTGGCAGGGGTGACGTGGGTGACACTGCTGTCCCTCCCGCCGGCAGCACAGAGCTCGTTGCGATTACTGGCATAGAGAAATAAAGAAAATTTAAAAGAAAATTTAAAGAAAAGAAAATTTAAACAAAAGAAAATTTAAACAAAAATTTAAGAAAATCTGAAAAAATTA